AAGTTCCGTTTTCAGTTCTTCTAAGAGTGATACCATTTTAAAAACTTTTAAACAACCACCCGGTTAATTTTAGTCATCTAGATGCAAAAACCAAAAATCACCAAGTAATCCAAATAATCCAAGGCTGTTTCTACTTGCTTCTTTTTTCCACTCTCTCTTCCTGGGGTTCTATTATTTTGTTACCAAATTTCCATTAAAATGTATCTTTGAGGAATCTTGTTAAAATTTCACTGTAAGTTCCTTTTAATTACAGTTCCGTTCCTTAATTCCAGGCAGTCTCCTCCATTTTTCCAGATCCTGCCCTTCTATTCTTTTTTTTTCTCCTTTCCAGCTTTTAAAAACTTTTAAATGTCCAGAAATCTTTATTATCCCTTTGACTTTTATTTTCAGCTTAGATGCCTATTAATGTCAAAGTGGATTTTTTTTTCAGTTTCTTGCTTGTCTCTTAGCTGTCAGTATAAGGAAGGGAAGAAAAAAAAAACTAATCCTTTCCCTTCTCTCTCTCCTTCGCAGCTTCAAAATCTTCTTTGGGAACAATGTTGTTAAGTTTAAATCCCAGGGTACCTTATTTGTTGTTTTTGCTGTTTGACCCGGTCAACCAAAACTTTCTCTTCTTATCTTCCTCCTGCATATTCTTTTCCGGTCGAGTTCTTCTTTGTGGTGGCCATTTCTGACCACCGCTACAACTGCCTTCGGGAAAGGGAGTAATGGCCAGCTGGGGAGGAGAGATGCAGCTCTCCTCAACCCTGCAGGCAGTCTCCCCCCTCTTCACCACCTCTACGGGGTGGCTTAGCCCCGAAACCAGCCGGCTTGGGGCGCTCCAGCGGCGAGTACGGATCGAAGCCTCGGAGAGACGAGGTTTCGGTCTGTCGCCGAAGAAGCTCAAACCGGAAGTCCTCCATAAATGGAGCATTCTTGAGAATGGCCGCAGGTGCCTCTTCACATGTCAACCCTTTGAGGTAGACTAGATCAGGAAATTGAGATTCACAACTTCAACTAGTACTACTATATGTTATTCAAATAGAACCAGGAGCTTCAAAGTCTGAGTCTGAGTTTTCCCTTTCTTCTCTCTTATAGCCGAATGATTTAGGGTCCAGCCAGGCTCAACTTCTGTCTCAGCTTTCACTGTTTCCCAAACTTAATGCAGACTTGTGTGTTTTCCAAATCATTTCTACATAGTTCATCTCTGTGGCAGTCTACAGTTTGCTTGCCCAGTAAACAGGAATTTTGTGACTGGCTGCTCCCCGGGGCACAAATTTATAAACAAGTAATCCCACCTATTTTGTGGCAGCTATTTTGTGAGAGCACCTTGACATTCTAAATAGGCCCATTGTCTAATCCACTCTAAATAACTAAACAACTAAATATCTAAATAAACAAACAAATAAATTGCTCAATCCCTTACCCATGTGCCGAATATGCTGGGCCATCATTTTTCCCTTAGTGAGAGATGTCACACGAATGCTATTGTCCCAATGCCCTCCACTGAAAAGCAACTTTGCATCATGGGACATTACAAACAACTTTGAAATAATTTGTAATCCTGGTGCAAAAGGACCACTGATGTTTCGTTGTGTTCTGGAAACAAATACTTAAATTAGATCTACATTTCCCACTTATTAAAGTATATTGTTGCCCCAAATCATGAAGCAAGTTGCAATACAAATAAAAGTGCAATATAATAACGTAATAATATTACATCTGCTTGCAACGATATAAGCAAAGGGGGAATAAATTTCAACTTCCAGCATAATAAATTCTGTTTTCTTCCAGTTAGGATGGGAGAAGGCAGAGGGCAAGACAGAGGTCAGGTAGAGGGTTTATCCTCCTCATTCATATAAATATTGATTATGGTATACTATTATTACTCCCAATTCTTATCAGTAACTGCAAGTTTCTGAAATCTGAATTGCGGATTTAAGATTTTATCATCCATTCTCTTGATCTTGCATTACAGCAATCTTCAGGCTCATATCTGAGCTTTGTTCAATCAGGATATATCTATCCTTGGGAAAATGTCTAGAGAACAATATAAAGTTAATTAAATAGCAAAGAGGACATGAATTCAATGAGCCAGTTTATTAAGCCAAAATTAACCATGAGCCCATGATGAACTTTTTCATCAACATTCTCATCCTTCGGCAAAGTCCACTGATTTCTTCAGATAATTTCCCACAGCATCCAGCTCTGAGCAGAAGCTTTCATCACCTATCCAGAAGCCTAATTTGCAGTTCAAAACAGATAATACATACTGAATGTATATATGCATACATACAAACCTCTGCCTGTATGCATATATGTATCTTGATTCAGATATATTTGTATCTTCCTCTGCATAAACAGATTAAAGACACACGAAGAGCTATGAAAATATTCTTTCTCTCTATGCATATCCCCAATGAAGGATCATATCTATAAGATGAGCTCTAATTTGTAAAAAACATGCTAAAATATGTCCCAGAAAATTATGTTTTTACTCACTTGGGATTTGTCACTGTTTGATCTTTAAGGAAAGTGAAATAATTGGAAATAGTTCGGTCATAAGGTAGCCATCCATGAGTTCCAATGATAAAGTTGAGATTCACTGTTACCTTCAGAAAAGAATGTTTTAAAAAAATGAAATATAAGCTTCAGTAACATCAAATATAAATACAATTTGTCTTTCCTCCCTGCCTTTATATCTGGCTACTCTTTTGTGAATCTTTGAATTATAGTTCTGAAAGTTCTGAAATCTATTGATTTTATGTATATATTGCATTAAGATACTACATCTACTCAGGAAACATTAAACACAACAATCACACCAACCATGATAAAAGATACTTCAATACATATTATAATACCCTTAAACTGTCCACCTTTGGATGGAAACAAATTAAAGATTAATAATAAATTAACAACAGACAACAACAATTAATAACCAGTCATTTGGATAATTTCACATCAGATCTTCTTCTGGCATTTTTTGCAAATGTCACTCACCAAAAGTTCTGGACTTCCCTGTGACATGAAAGACCGGTATTGGTTCCTGGGAACAATGGCCTTAACAATGGGGATTCCATCACTGATTCCCTAAGGGGAAAACAGACAGCTAGTTGGTGATGGTAAGTAGGACAAATTAATCTGATGTGACATATGCTAGCATGTAGTTGATATTTAAACTTACAGCCAATGAGGATGCTAATATTAAATAGAGTTTCTAAATAAGTGTTTCTCATTCTGAAATGTAATAGCAGAAGGAACTCCTGGATCTGAATCACTTGCTCAGGTTTTGCTGGAATAGGCAGAATCAGAATTCTGCTGAAGACTTGAAGTGTCAGCTAGTTAGAACTGCCTCTTAAATAATAAAGAAAATGTGGAACTATTTATATAATGATTGCTTATTCATTGCTACATTTTCTGTTTCTCAATTGCCATATTTATCATGGTCAAAATTATCCCACAATATTTGTATAATCCAAATGTGTGTGAAATAAAGCATATAAAGAAATAAAGTATAAATGGGAGGGTAAAAAGTCAGAGGCTCCCTAAAGACAATGAGGAACAGGAGTTGGGATAACATTTTTCTAATTACATTAGATGTTTATATAATTACATTGAATATCCATCAGTACCTTAGAATTGTTTTTTTTTAAACTTAACAAGGCAACTGCAACCATGTATTATTATCTTCTAAACCTACACATTTATATCAGTATGAAAGTGCTCCTTGCTTTTTATGGCTGTACTACAGAATCAGTATAGTATCCTATTCTCAAACTATTATGTAATTCCTCTTTGACTGTTGTACAGCACGACTAATCATCTCAGTTTATTAGTAACAAAGACAAACCATTGGAATGTTCAGAAACATGCTTAAAAACAACCTATCTAAATAAGGAGAACAGCTATAATAATTCCCAAAGTACTAACAATCTTGGCTTCAATGACAATAGAGCAGCATTGAAGCGAATGAGCATCTTTTACAGCAGGGGTGTCAAACTCGATTTCCTTGAGGGCTGTATCAGAGTTGTTATTTGACCTCAGGGGGGCTGGGTGGGTGTGGCCAGGGTGGGTGTGGCCAGTATGATGTCACTTTTGTCAGAGGCAGCTGTGGTGGCCCGAGCGGTCTGCCAGTGGAAACGGGCTCCTGAGCTCTGTTTTTGGCTATGACTGCCTCCTGCAAAGCTCTGCCAGAGAAAATGGAGCTGGAGGGGCCAAGTGCGGCCTTTGCAAGCTCCATTTTTGCTGGCAGAGGCACCATGTTATGTTATGGTCCTTTGTTATTTCCAGGAAAGTCCCGCAGGCCAGATCTAAGCACCCCAGATCCAATCCCCGGGGCTTGAGTTTGACACCCCTGTTCTACAGAATAAGTTGTAATGAAATCCACATAAGATTGTAGAGAGGTTACTTTCAAGCATACTCAGAAATGCGATTCTTGACATTTTATGATCTGCTGGGAAAATGTAATCCTCCTATCCAATCATTGTTAAGTGGCTGCAAAAATGTCCTGGAATCCTCATGCGATTATGGCTTGTGCTATGACTGACAAAAAATCCTCCATCATCACAAAAAATGTATTTTAAAATGTTAAGAATACTTTCTTGTGGCTTAACACTTTGTCTGTCACAATATTGAAATCAAAGCCCTCATCCACAATATATATCTACAGTAGAATTGTAAAAGAAAGAAAAGAGAGCTATTTACAGCATCAAGCTCTGTTAATATGGCACAGTGGTTAGAAGTAAAAAGCACTCAGAGGATAGTAATACCAATACCAATAGCAATAGCACTTAGATTTATATACCATTTCATAGTGCTTTACAGACCTCTCTGAGCAGTTTATAGAGTTAGCATATTGTCCCCAACAATCTGGGGACATTTTACCGATTGTGAAAGGATGGAAGGCTGAATCAACCTTGAGCTGGTGAGAATCAAACTGCTGGAACTCAGCAGAATTAGCCTGCAATACTGCATTCTCTGCTGTTTAGTCAGATTTAAACAATACGAAAGAGTGCTGTAGGCTTTTAGCATTTGCAGAAACTAAAAATACAGATCCGTTTCTACCATCATTGTAGAAAATGTGTAATGCGCAGACTTCTGTCTCTATAGCCATCAAGTTTTTTGGACCTAGAATCCATTTTTGGTTCACCCAATTGGGTGGGAAATTATTATTTCATTTTCAAACACTCTAGAGGCTGCTTTTTAAAATATGAAGTGTAAATAATGTGAAACATTATCAATTGTAAACTGATAACAAATAACTTTACCTCAATAAAGAAGGATTTTAGTTCAGAGAGATGCTGAAACAGATTGAGGGTGGAATTTTCATTTTTGGTCTGTTTCTGCAGCACTTCCTCCACAGATAATCTTGCTGGATGGGGCTCCTAGAATAAATCCAAAGAATTGGGAACACAATAATTCTTCAACAAATTATTGAAATAAGAGGAATAAAGATCATGTGATTTGGCACAGTGTGTGACTGTGAGGTATGACAGGCAAGGCCTGAGGAGAAACCTCTGAAGCATGAGAACCATGATACACAGTCAAAGGCAGACTAAACATTTGGAGATGGTACCTGGGACTGTTAGTGCTTCCAAAGGATTTACCTTCAATAGTTGGCAAGGTGTTTGTCCAAAGTTGTTAATCATCCCTTCTAAGGCTTTTCTTTCTTTCTCATCAGTTAAGGCATCCAGGTCTACAGCTCCTGCAATGATAGTCAAATGGCAAGCAAAACAAAGACAACAATATACCTTTCTGTATATGGTTTCATAAGTATATATTACTTAATATTTCATCACTTGAAGTTGTTATGGGGAATTGTATGCTTGCTCCCTCTCTTGCAGTTATTGTAACATTTCTCCATGTATTTACAGTACAGTAACCTCTCTATCTATCTCAGGAGTGGGCAAACTTTTTGGCTCGGGGGCCGCATTGACTTTTAAAATTTGACAGACGGGCCGGGTCAGCACAATATTTTTTGGGAATCGCCCCCCCCACCCTTCCCGCCCCCTCTTCTCCTCCTCCCCCTCCCCTCGGAGGCCCCCTGAGTCAGGAGTTGCTACCACCGGCGCGGCTCCGCGTGGCTCCAGTCCCGCGTTGCCTCGGGAAGGGAAAGGCAAAAAGGAAGAGCCGCGGCGGTGCTTTGCAACGGGAACAGCGGCACTGGAGGCTCAGGCTCAGCGGCTCCTGGTTTTGCCTTTTCCTTCCCAAGGCAACGCGGGACTAGAGCTGCACGGAGCTGCGCCAGCGGTAGCAACTCCTGACAGCCCCAGCCGGACACCTGAGCGGAGCCCGGGCGAAACTGCCTGTTGCTGCTGCCGGAGCACCGCCGGGTCGCCTCCTCCAAGTAGCCTGCCCGCCCACCGGGCTTCCCCTCTGCCGCACGGCTCGGGGCCAGGCGCGAGCGCCCGCGAGTTAAAAGGAAGCCGAAAGTTGCTGGGAAGTTGCTTGGGTGCTGGGAGCGATTTTTTTCAGGGGCGGGCCAGATTGGATAGACCAACGGGCCGGATGTGGCCCGCGGGCCGTAGTTTGCCCACCCCTGATCTATCTGGTATCCTTCAGATCTATTCAGACTACAAACTCCAAAAAGCATCAGGTTAAGGAAAATCAAACTCTGGTAGTGAAAGAGCAGATTTCATGAGGGCCTAAATGCCAAGGTCTATAACCAATCTGCCCTATCCATTTGGGTGCAACATGAAGAACAAGAATGAACCTAGTTTAATATGTTGAAAAAGATTGACCTTTGTGATCCCATTTGCTCCAGCATGGTTTACAAAGCATTTCCTTTCATTTTTTAAAATTATTCAGCCCTAAGAAATTCTGGTTATTCTTCAACTTCATACTAGTTTAGATGATGTGCTAAACTGTGACAAAATAAAAACAGAAGTTTCCAATCCCCCCCCCCCTATTTATAATGAGCTGAAGAAAAGCATTTAAGGCTCAGGGTGTATTTAGAGATTGATGTTACACATGGACCACCTCCCAGAGAAGGTCTTCAGTTTATTCTGTAAAGAATCATTTTATCATGAGAGGCACAGACTTCTAAAAGTTGATGAATTTTAGCCTTAGAATTTCTGTGGCAATAACATGATTGCCACAGAAATACCATGTGGCATCTTTTCTGACTAAAAGATGTTATTAACAAACATAAATTTCCATGAGCTGCATTTAAGGTCATCAGATGCCTGGAAACTTCATGTAGTCTAGCCACTCTATGAATCTGACAATGCTTATGTCTGTTAATATAATTTGCTAGTCAGAAAAGGTGCTACTAGACTCTTCCTGACTTTTACGCCACCCTCAACTCTACTCTCTCTTCCTGCAGTGTTCAGTAAGAGATGACTGAGTGGAACACTCTGTATGAGGACAAGGAGAACATTTCAAATAAAAATTGGACTTTTATCACATTAACTCTTGTCAGTTAAAATCAACTTCTCAAATCTTAAATATGTGCTGGTAAAATGGTGATGCCATGGACATGTCCATAAAACTACACAAAGATTGTTGGCCAGGATGTATTTTCAATTTTCAATTTAATTTACAATTTTCAGATTTTGTAGTAGCCGTCCATCTAAATATAGGTAGTCCTCGACTTACAACAGTTCACTTAGTGACCGTTTAAACAACAGCATTGACAGAAGTGACTTATGATCATTTTTCACACTTGCAGTATCCCCATGGTCACATGATTTACATTCAGATGCTTGACAACTGACTTACATTTATGACAGCTGAAGTGTCCCAGGGTCATGTGATCACTTTTTGTGACTTTCTGACAAGCAAAGTCAATTGAAAAGCCAAATTCACTTAACAAATGCAGCAAGAAAAACTGTAAAATGGGGCAAAATTCACTTAATACGTTTCTCACTTAGCAATAGAAATGATGGGCTCAACTGTGGTCATAAGTTGACTATCTGTATTAACAAGGTCTTATCTTGCTTAGCTTTTTCTGGAGCACCCAAAAGTCAGTTAGCCACCTATCACTGTGATAAGTTATCACAAACATGATGTAATGCATACGTATTATCACCCAATAGTTGGTCATTGACACATTGTTAATCATTCTCCCTAATTAACCATGTACAGATGCTAATGAAAGAGAATAATAGACAACCCATTTAATACTATGCAGCATTAATCAAATCATACAGCTATAAGATAGCAAATATTTGATAGAGTGCAAAGTTTTATCCACGACATAATCAAAGCCTATCGTCTTCTCTCCTGCCCTTCCTTGGTTTAGCTTTTAAAGCTACTATTAACCTTTCCAACACACATGATCCAATTATGAACCAAGAATAGATGGGGCTTCATACCTTCATAGGTACAGTAGTAGAAGACATTCAGAGCTTCCACTGCAGCTGGCCCCCTTTGTTTATAGCCAAAAATCAGATCTATCCATTCATGGAGATGAGCAGAGACATATTCTGATTCCTAAGACAGCAAGAAAAAATTAAGTTCAGTACCTAGGTTCTTAAAAAAAAACACCTTCTAGCCCATTTTATTTTTTGAAAAAAAGGCTTTTTCCAAATACACTTCACTTTCCATATTTACATTCATTGAAAAAGATCATCCTAGTTTTATGATAATGTTTTCGCACATAGGAACTGTGAAATATAAGAAAGTAAACCCAAATTACTACAACTATTCAGGAGAAAAAAAAATAGGTACCAGAAAAGTACAATTTAATTCAGCTGTGGTAAAACCTCTAAGGATAAGCATAACAACTTACATCGCAAAAAAATATAAAAAGATTTTTTTCCAAAACCCTTGGCCAGATTAACCAGGTACTATCTACAAATTTTAGTAATTAAATGTTTAATTACTAGCTGAAGTACTATCCATGGACCCAGATGGGTAGCTGTGTTTTGAAGAGCAATTACATAATTAGCAACATTGTGCTTGGGCCACCCGACTTTCAAATGTTATCTCTCAATTCTCTATCCAATTCTCAGTCCAATAAAATCAAAAGCCTTTCAAACAAAGAGTTATTAATGTGGCTATTTAAGAAGATATCGCAGCACTTAAATGTGTCAAATGTCAAGTGCCTGGCTCAACACAAATCAGCCTCATGGTTAGAAAAATATATAACGAATATATTACATGCTGCCTCAACATCTCAGAAGAGGTTTTTTTAGAGCTTGATTTGAACATCTGGACTCCATGGTGTAAGACATGGGAGGTTTCATGGGGTCCCAATCAGAGGTGGTATTCAACCGGTTCACACCGTTTCGGGCAAACTGGCAGCGGTAATGTGGTGTGGGTTGCCGAACTGGTGGCGACCCCTAGTTGGCCATGCCCCCGACCCAGTCGCCCACTTGCCCTAGTCGCTCTCCTAGCTTTCCCTACCATGTGGCCGCCGTGGCACAGCTTGGGCAGATATCCCAGGGCTGCTGCACATGTGCACTGCGTTTGCAGCCGCTACACATGCAATGCACATGTTCAGCAACCTGGGACATCTGCCCACCTGCCTGCCCTCCCGGAGCACATTTTCTTCTTTCTCCTGGCGGATGTGCCTCTTCCAGCCCGGCCTGGCCTGGCCATCCAGCAGGTGGGTGGGCGGATGTCCCAGGGCTTCTCACCCCGCTTGTCGCAAGATGCCTGCAGCTGCTGCGTGCTTTTTTCGGTGCTGTTGCAATCCAGCAGCCGTACCGAAAAAAGCATGCCCTGTTCTATGTGCCGGGCCTGGCAAGTCTGAGTCGCCGGCGCATAGAATAGGGCGGCACCAGACCACTGGAGAAGCAGAGCGAAGCCGGAGATCAGTAGCTGCCTCTTTTGCAGCTCAAGAAGCCTCCCTGAATTGGCCGGCTGGTCTCCTCCTTCTCTGCCTATTTGTTCTGCTGCATGGCCGAGGAGGAGACCACCAGCTGGCCAATTCGGGGAGGATTTCTGCCTGAAAAAGACAGCTGGAGACCGACAAAGAGTCACCTTCATCAGCCACCCCTTTGGCTGGCTGATGTCCTCCACCTCAGCCATACAAAACAAACAGGTGGAGAAAGAGAAGACCAGCCGGTTGATTCAGGGAGGATTTCAGCCCAAAAGATATGGCTGGAGACCGAAAAAGAGTCGCCTCCAGCAGCTGCCCCTTTGGTCGGCTGATGTTCTCCCCCTCGGCCATACAAAACAAACAGGTGGAGAAAGAGAAGACCAGCTGGCCGATTCGGGGAGGATTTCAGCTCGAAAGATATGGCTGGAGACCGAAACAAACAGGTAGAGAAAGAGAAGACCAGTCAGCTGATTCGGGGAGGATTTCTGCATTGCAAAAGAGGCGGCTACTGATCTCTGGCTTCGCTCTGCTTCTCCAACGGTCCGGCACAGCCCTGCTACTCGGACTTGCCGGGCCCGGCATAAAGAACAGGGCATGCTTTTTTCAGTGCAGCTGCTGGATTGCACGCAGCAGCTGCAGGCATCTCGTGACAAGGAGGGCGAGAAGCCCCGGGACATGTGGTCACTTGCTAGCTGGCCGGGCCGGACTGGAAGAGGCGCATCCGCCAGGAGAAAGCGTGCTCCGGGAGGGCGGGTGCTGTGCAGTCCCAGGACCACTTAAAGGTTGACTTTAAGAGCGCCCCCATGGAAGAAGCCGAGAACTGTGAGCAAAAGTAGTGGCAGCAGGGGTGATGGGCATGTGTCCCTCCAGAAGGAGTGTAAAGGGAGGCAGACACCATGCCTCTGAGGAAAAGAGGAGGTGCCGAAGCCCTGGCTATCACCCGGGAGGGTCCCACAGAGGGACCCATCACACGCCCCTGTCGCCCCCGCTTCTGCTACTTTTTCTCTTGTTCTCATCTGCTTCCATGGGGGTGCTCTTAAAGTCGATCTTTAAGAGCTGAAAGATGTTTCATTAGATTGCCGTCAACTCATCATTGGAAGAGGTGTAGTCCCTGAATTCATGAGAAGTCTTCCTTCACGCTCCTTGTGCAGTCCCACCACTGGTCCCAATTGAAGAAAGATTTTGCATTTGTGGAGCACCAGCCATTGAAGACACTGGAAACATTCTTGTCAACTGCAAATTGTACTCTCCAGAAACAGCCACTTGTTTAGCCCCTTATTTAAAAACTAAAAAAATATTCAAGCCCCCAAGAGAAACACTCTTATTTATTACAGGGAACAAACCTGCAAACATCAATAAAACTGCAATTCTCATTTCAAAAGCCACCTCAAAGAGGAAAGAATATCTTGATTATCATAAATTGGAATTAACTATAGGGTGACAATATAGTACAAACTTAAGTTTTCTTCTTATTTACTTGCATTTTTTATTTATTTGCATCAGTTTTATATGTTTGACTCAGTAATTTGACACAATTGAGTTTTCTTCTTCTATTTTACCTAATACTATTTTATCTTACTTATCTACAATTTATCATGTCTATTTTATTCTGTTTTATCTCACTTCACTGTATTTTATCCCATTTTACTGTATTTTACTGTGGTTAGTATTTATGTTTGACATGGTTGATTGATTAATTAATAGTGAACCATACTATATCAAGAAGAATGAAGAGAGAAAGGCCACTGAAAATCATTTTATGTGATTGTGAATACTATTCATTGGTGAATGCCATATCTTTTAAATTGTTTAAATTTATTTATTTGTATCCTGCCTTTATTATTTTTACAAATTACTCAAGACAGAAACATATTCAACACACCTTCATTTCATTTCCTGTCAACTTACACATATACTCTGATAGTCCTTTGTGCTAAACACACATTTTTAAATCAACCATTCTCTCTCCAGAGGGACTATAACTCACCAATGCTTTCCTATGTTTGAAAATGAAGTCTTCTGGAGAATCTGCCCATTTTGGAAGGACAACATCATTTATCTCTTCTTTTGAAATCTGGAGCTGACCAAAATTGAAATCTGCAGATAAGACAAAAGGATTTCAGGTGCAATTAAGATGATAAAATGTTTATCAGAAGTTATTGTTTTCTAAGCCAGATACCATTGCAGGAAAAGATGACAGGAGAAAAGCAGTTAATCAGGAAAATCAATGTCTCATATATTTATTTATATAGAACTGGCTTCTCTGAATTATGTAATAGAATAACAGCATTTATGGCAAAAGTGTAATTTAGGAATTTTTGTATAATAAATCAGATTTTCTATTCATTCTGTAATCACAGAACATTAGCCAATGTGTTGCAGGAGAAGAGAAGGCAGATGAAGAGTAGGAAGATGGCAGCACCCAACTAGGAAGGTGAGGCTCTCGCTCCTGCAGCACTATCACCCTATAAAGCAGACCTCTTGCTAACCGGAGCGATTGGACCATTATCGGCCTTCTTCAGAGAGCCTTCCCAAAAACGCAAACCAGAGCCCAAAAAAACCCGCTGAATTCTGGAGCCCTCCCCTCCTTCCCCAGAGAAGCGGAGCTCCTTCCCTCAAGCCCTATTAACCACACCAGCGGAGCTCAAGGTAGCCAGAGCTCTTGAACTGGATCATTTGGAGCCAGCGGAGTGCAAACAATGCACCTTCATTTAAATCCCCCCCCCACAGCTGATCTGTAGATACAGAGTATCTTCCACACTAGACAACATGTCTCCATTCAAAATCCCCCACACAGTTTCCCCGGAGCCACAGCGGATAGCTGGCAGGGAGAAACAAAGAGAGAGGAGAGACAGACCAAGACTTGAGGAGAAGGACATAACTAGTGGATAGTCCTGAGAGAATTATAAACAGAGATACTGAACTACTTCAGAGATACTGAAGACCTGAGAGGCAGAACGAAACTAGCCTCTACCTCACCAGGAAACAATCAATTAGACACCATTAAACAACCTCTATCTCACCAAGAAACAATCACTTAGATGTCATTAAACCAGTGGTGGTATTCTACCGGTTTACAAAACTTTAACTTTCATTCCTCCATTTAAATTATCCAGCTGATTAGACATTTAAATCCCCACTCAGCTGATTGGACAAGCTCCATTTAAATCCCCATCCAAATCTCATCCATTCAAAACTCCCAAGTGGATGATTGGAGAGTTCATTCAAATCTTCCCCATTCAAATCTCTCAAGCAGCTGATTGGAACATTTCCATGATCTAATGAAACGTAACTGATTAAAGCATCTTCCACGGAACACTAACAAAGCTCCTTCAAGCAACGCTTCCTCTTTAAAAAACAAAACAAAAAAACCCCCAAACAATGTGGCTTTAAGGAAAAACCAAGGAACTTTTCACTACCAACCTCCAATACTTCACTACCTCCATTATTTCATTACCTCAAGACCTATTATTGATAGATAATGCTTTGTCTAAAATAATTGATTTATCATTTAATAGTATAATAATTAATTGTTAAATGACCACTAATTACTGATTTATTGATTGATAGTGATTTAATACTGTATAACTGATTATCTAGTTAATTGATTGATTTTTTTAGTAATAAGTAAACCTTACTATTGATTTGTTCTCTAACTTATCAATTAACATATATTAATTATCAACATTCATTAAGTAACTGTCTACCTGTCATACTAATTTAGCTATTGTAATTTTTCAGTGTACTATTGTCATTGACCATGCCAGCCAAAAACTCCACCAAACATCAACAAAAGAATGATATATCTACCAATGACCTCCCAGACTCCTGCACATGCTTCAAATGTCTTGAAACTATCAATGAAAGTGAAAACAGCATTAAATGCTACCTATGTGACAATCAAGCCCACCTTGCCTGCTTAAACTTAATCAAAAGCCTAGCTGATCTCCTAAAAACATCAGATACATTTCCTTGTCTATGTCCATCATGTTTACCTAAGCTAAACAAAGTACTCTGCCTGACAGAATTGAAAACATAGAATCATTCATGCACGCAATAGAAGAACGCTTAGTAACACATTTTGAAACATCTATACAAGCAAGCCTAATCTTTCTTGAAAAAAAATACAGCACAGATAAGCGAATACCTATCAGCTCAAAATCAAATCCCAACTCAACAACTACTACCACAACTATTACCTCAACTACAATCAAAACTACAACCAAAAATAACCACCAAACCACAGCCACAAATAATCACTATCCCATCAAATAATACCACAAACGATATCCTCTTACTCATCAGAGACATCATGGAACGTGATCAGAAACGTCCAAATGCCTTCTTATTTGGTCTTGAAGACACCAAAGAATCTGATGATATCACCAAAGTTTGCAATATCATAAGCAACTCAAATACAACAAACTCCTGAAGATATCATTGAAATAACCAGAGATGGCTCTGAGTTCAAATACAACGATGGCTTGGTGGGCCCAAGATTTTGTAGAATTGTTTGCAAAAATGAGTCCAGCAAACGGATATTCATACAATAAATGCCATTGCTAAAACCAATACCACCCATAACAAATTTCGCTCACAACCAGACTTATCCATACTGCAAAGAATCCACTCCCGTGAACTCCGCACAGAACTCAAAAAACGTCCAGACAATGGAGAAAAGGACCTGTACATTGACTACCGTGCTGACTGTATCAAAAGTAAGTCACACAACCCGCAACTCAGCTATAACCTTCAACCACAACCCTACCTCAACCAATCCACCATCACCCAAAACTAGGCACGCACGCCCCTAACTACCTCAATTCCAACTACAACTGGCCTTAAATTCAAGCTACTCAATGCAAGAGGCCTTGTAAATACAATACCTGAATTTCTCCTCTTACTAAATACAGCTAAATTTGACATCATATTTGTCTGTGAAACATGGCTCAATGCACCCTCCCTGACTCCATTACCACAGTAAGAGATCAGATCACGAAATCCGTAGAGGAGGTGGTGTTGCTGTCTTCTATAAAAAGTCCCCACATCTAAAAAATATCCAAATTACCCTGGAGCTTGCTCTTCCAGAGACCATCATCTGTGAACTGTCTTTAAATATCACATTTTGATTCTTACTATGTTACAGAGCCCCTGATTATGACATCGAACCTGTAAACAAGTTAAATTCACTAACATGAGCAACCTCCTGCCCACACGCTTTTATCTTTCTTGGTGACTTCAATCTACCTCGTATTAACTGGACCCTAAACAACTGTACAACCGAACCCATACATGCAAACTTCTAAAATGCTGTAACAAATCTGGGACTGGGACAACTAGTAGCCAACAACATTAGACTTAACAACTGCCTCGATCTCATCTTCTGCAACCGTTTGAATTCTACAGACTACAAATTAAAAAACACTTTTCCAACAGTGACCATAACATGATTGACTTTTGTCTCAACATACATCCTCACAAAAATCACCACAACGACAGGATCCCAATTATAACTTCAAAAAAGGCAACTATGAAAACTTTGAGCTTCTTCGGTGACGGACCAAAATCCGTGATCGTGTGTGGTTTCGATCCATGCTTGCTGCCGGAGTTCCCCGAGCCGGCTGGATTCAGGGCTAAGCCACCCCGTAGAGGTGAAGAGGGGGCAGACTGCCAGCAGGGTCAAGGAGAGCCACATCTCTCCTCACCAGGTGGCCATTACTCCCTTTCCTGAAGGCGGTTGCAGCGGTGGTCAGAAATGGCCACCTCAAAGAACTCGACCAGAAAAGAATGTGCAGGAGGAAGATAAGAGAAAGTTGAACTGAAAAAGCAATAACATAAGGTACCCTGGAATTTGAACTATTAAGAATAACATTGTTCCCACAGAAGATTTTGAAGCGGCCAAGGAGAGAGGGAAGGGAAAGGATTTGGCTTTTTTTTTCTTTCCTTCCTCATATTGACAGCTAAGATGTTTAAGTAAGAAACTGACAAAAATCCACTTTGACATCAATAGGCCTTCAAGCTGAAAATAAAATGTCAAAGGGATAACAAAGACTTTTGGATATTCAAAAACCTTTAAAAGAAGGAAAGGAGAGAAAAGGAAAGAATAAAAGGGCGGGATCTGGAAAAATGGAGGAGACTACCTGGAAGTAAAAGGAATTTACAGCAAAACTTCAACAAGATTCCTAAAAGATACATTCTAACTGAAACTTTGTAACAAGATAATAGAACCCCAGGAAGAGAAAGTGGAAAAAAGAAGCAAGAAGAAACAGCTTTGGATTATTTGGATTACTTGGTGATTTTTGGATTTTTGGTTATTGGATTTAAATGACTAAAATCAATCAGGTGGTTGTTTAAAAGTGTTTAAAATGGCATCACTCTTGGAAGAACTGAAAATGGAACTTTAAAAATAGAAAGAAGATGCACAAGAAAGAAGAGGCTTTTTTGGCTTCGTATTTCAATTTTTAGAAATGGAGATCTGGAACTATGAGAAACAACAAGAAATGCTTATAGAACAAGAAGGGCGGGACAAGGAAGAAGCCATCTTTAATGACCGAGTAATTTTAAGTGAGGAAAAAAGGAAAGGCGGGAAAGAGAGTGAAAAGTTTAAGATTTGAAAAAACAACCAAAAAAAGAGAATAGTTTGAAAAGTAATCACAATACTAGGAAGAAACAGAAGAGTGGATTACAGAAGAGAGAATTAGAATTAGAGAGACAAGGGGCCAAAAGGGGGAGGAAGAAGAAGATGGGGAAGAAGGAAAGGAAAAGAAGTTATAAAGGACAGAAACAAAGATATAGAGAAACAGGGAAAAGGTATAAGAATTGAAAGTATAAACCTGTTTAGAGATAATGGATGAAAACTTAATTGTAAAAGGGATTCTGCAAAGGTACATAAGATAGTATTGTTATATTAGAAATAAACTTAGAAAATATGAAACAAGTGTGATTAAAATGATAGATAAAATACTTACTGTAATGTAATGGAATGTTTGTTAATAAATAAGAAAGAGAGAATGAAATTGAAAGGATGGGAACATTTTAATTATTATTAATGATTTATAAAAACTTAAGTGAAGAGAAATATGAAAGAAATATGGGGAAAAATTATGGAAATAATTTCCTAAGGAAGTATGATATTCAATTGAAAAAAAATGTTAAAGATGTTAAACATTGTAACTAACATTAATGATAGAGCTGAATTGGAATAGAATAAGTGTTTTATTTACTATTGTTTTATATATATATTTTCTCTTTAAGAACATAGTGTGTATTTTAAGAATGTACCAAGCAGAATTCAATTGGACGTTATGTGTTATTCTTATAAATTGTAAAAGCATAAATTGAAGTTTAAATAAGAGTTGAATGGACAAAATTAAAAGATACAAAGGTGTCATACTCGAATTAGTAACTACAGGGGAAAACTTGTTTAATGAGGAAAGAAAATATGAAATTGAAATAGGACAGACAAAAGTATAAATATAATGATTAGAAAGACACTGAAACTTAGAAAAAGATATATAATTGAATTTAGATAGGTATGACATAATTAAAAACAAAGTTGAGAAAACTAAGGGAGGGGAAAATTATGGAGAAAATGCAGGGGTGGGATTCTACCAGTTCGCACTTATTTGCTAGAACCGGTTGTTAACATTCTAAGCAGTTCGGAGAACCGGTTGTTAGAAAAATTACTGGCCTAATCCTGTAAGGGGAAGGCAGGAAGGAAACATTCTGGTGTTGCTTACAGAAACTGCCTCTTCGTTAACCCTTATTACATTCTTGGCAGGACTAGACTTCCTGTCTCTAGAACTTCTCTGGAGTTTTTTTCCTCTTTTGCTGGTACTTTGCTTGTGTGGAGTGACCATTTAAAGTTACAATGGCACTGAAAAAAGTGACCTATGACCATTTTTCACAGTTACGATTGTTGCAGCATCCCCACAGTCATGAGAGGCCAGGCGAAGAGATGTGTGCCTCGATGTGAGTGATATTGAGTTGGCCACACCCAGCCAATAAGATGACCACCAAGCCATGTCCACCCAGTCACATGACCACCAAGCCACGTCCACCACCTAAGCCATGTCCACAGAACCGGTTGTTAAAAATTTTGAATCCCACCCCTGAGAAAATGTTAAAATAGCAATAAGATATGAAATAGAACACAAAGACGAATATGAAATTGAGTTTGTGTCTGTATGAAGAAGTGATAACCCAGGATCATGCTATTCTCAAAAAAAGATGTTTTATTTGTATTATGTTTTGTGAACACCCAAATAATTATTTTTTTAAAAAAAAAGGCAACTATGATCTTATAGACAACGATCTCTCATCTCTTGATTGGCAAATTCTATTCACTGGATGCAATACTGTTAAAGCCCATTATAACATATTTTTACTTGAAGTCAAAAGAGTCATCAAACTATAAGTACCAATAACAACTCCCAAAATCAGGAAAAACAAACTACCCATAACAATAAGGAAGCTCCAATACAAAAAGAAATCCCAAATCTGGTCATGTTGCCAATTTATTCCACCAGATAAAGACTGAATGCACCAATTATCACATTAAACAAGAGGAAAACCTTCTATGCACCAATTCCACCCACACTTTCTACAATTTTGTAAACAACAAACTAAATGACTCAAGGTCTATCCCACCCCTGAAAGGACCTAATGGTAAAGACTGCAACGATGACACCATTAAAGCCAACATCTTTAACACATTCTTCGGCTCAGTATTTGTAAACAACAATGGATCATGCCCAGTATTTCCTAGTCGAACCACAGACAACTACAATGATCTAATACATATCGATTTTACAAAAGACAATGTTGAAAAAGCACTATGCAATCTAAAACCATCTCTATCTATTGGACCAGATGGAATATGTGCCTACTTCTTAAAAAAGCTATCCATTGCCATAGCCGAACCTCCAAGCATAATCTTTGAAAAATCTTTCAGGACCAGCTCCTTGCCAAACCTATGGTCATTAGCCACAGTCATCCCCATCTTCAAAAAGGGAGACCCCAGCTTAGTTGAAAATTACAGACCAATCTCTTTATGCTGCGTCACCTATAAAATCATGGAATCAATTATTAACCAATCCATTATCCTCCACTTAGAGACAAACAACCTACTCTCCAATAAACAATTTGGTTTCAGAAAAAAACTATCCTGTAATCTGCAACTCTTACACTGCAAAAACATATGGACGACACAACTCGACCAGGGCAAAACAATAGACGCAATCTACATAGACTTCTGTAAAGCCTTTGATTCAGTGGTACACGACAAACTACTCCTAAAAATAAAATCTTATGGTATCTCTGGACACCTGCATAACTGGATAGAAGCATTCCTGTCAAACAGGTAACAAATGGTCAAAACTGGGAGCATCCTATCAAATTCTGTACCTGTCAACAGTGGTGTCCCCCAAGGCAGCGTTCTAGGACCAACTCTCTTCATACTCTACATAAATGACCTCTGTGATCATATTAAGAGCAACTGCGTTCTTTTTGCTGATGATGTAAAACTATTCAACACCACCAACAATACTGCTACCCTTCAAAAAGACCAACTATGTGTCAGAATGGTCAAACAAATGGCAACTTCAAATCTCAACAAATAAATGCTCTGTCTTACATATTGGCCAAAAAAGTCAGAAAATAAAATAAAAGCTGAATAGTCAAGACCTTGTTGATGACCCAAACTTTGTCAAGGACCTTGGAGTACTCATCTCAAATGATCTAAGTGCTAGAGCCCACTGTAACTACATAGCCAAAAAGGCATTAAGAGTTGTAAACCTAATCGTGCGTAGCTTTTTCTCCGGTAATATCACTCTACTAACTAGAGAATACAAAATATTTTCTAGACCAATACTTGAATACAGCTCATCAGTCTGGAACCCGCACTACATATCTGATATTAATACAATTGAGAAAGTCCAGAAATATTTCACAAGAAGAGTTCTTTACTCCTCTACTCACTGCAGAATACCTTATGCCACCAGACTTGAAATTCTAGACCTAGACCAGGGGTTCCCAACCACCAGTCCCCGGACCAGTACCGGTCCGTGGAACAATTTCTACCGGGCCACCGGTTTGCTGGGCGCCGCCATCTTGTTTTGATGAAAAAGTCCTTCCTGTGAGCTTTTCTGGGTAGAAAGCGGCATTTGGGTGCTGAAAGAATCCTTGCGCCTTAGTTTCATCGAGGGGGGGGCGGCTTCGAACAAAACTAAAGCGCGAGGATTCTTTCAGCACGCATGGCAAGGCGAACCGAGCGACCGTCGCGAAGCCGTCGCGAAGCCATCGCGAAGCCCATCGACACAGGTACAAAGGAGGAGTTGAAGGTGGCGGGGAGAAGCGGGGGACAGCTGGCTGGCCGGTCGCTCAGCTCGCCTTGCCATGCGTGCTGATGCCGGTACCGGGCCGTGGATGATTTTGTGATGCCGGTACCGGGTCGCGGCACAAAAGAGGTTGGGGGCCACTGACCTAGACAACCTAGAACTACGCCGCCTTTGGTTTGATCTAAGTATAGTACAAAAAATTATATATTGCAATGTCCTACCTGTCAATGAATACTTCAGCTTCAACCACAACAACACAAGAGCACACAATAGATACAAACTCAAGGTAAACCATACCAAACTTGATTGCAGGAAATACAACTTCAGCAACAGAGTGATCAATGTCTGGAATACTCTACCTGACTCTGTGGTTTCTTCCCCAAACCCCAAAAACTTTAACCTTAGACTTAACCTTTTTCTTATTCATATCCATTTCATGTATTCATAACCATGTTTATACTTATATCTGTTATCTAATAATCACTTGACAAAATAAAATAAATAAATAAAAAAATTTGGGGGGCAGGGGGGAGACTAAAATGCACCATTAGTTTAGAGTCTTTGCATTGCCACAAAATCTAAATCCAGCTCACCCCCATATTCTGTTGACTCTTATCTAGTGTCAATTTAATGCTGATGTTAACTAGATTCTTTATGTATATAGGTTTCAATAAATCATTTCTACTGCAATCCACATGAATGGTCCTGATTCTTTGCACCTGACATAGTGTTACTTAAACAACAAAAGAGATTCCATTATTCTGTGCAGCTTATTATTGGTTTAACTTCTTACGATTTTGATTCTCTAAGAACTCTGGCAAGTAGAAAAATTCTGGGATTAACTCATTCACATCATTTGGATTCTCCATGAGAGCTTGCCAAGTAGCATGAATGGAATGGAACTGTCGATCCGCACAGTCAAATCTGCAGAGAGAAAATACAAAGGCAAACTCCCCAAATTACACATCAATATTTTCACTGAAATTCCATTTAAATAATGGAATTGCACTTAACTTAAGCTCACTGCTCTTCCTATAAATTTAAATATGGGTGCAATTTCTAAAAAAGTAATATACCTACTTATTGGGGTAACAACACATATCTGGAGCTACACATCATTTGCACACATTCCTGCATCACATTTGAACTAAAACACAAAACTTGTCCATTCAAGAACTCTATTTAGCTATTAGCATATAAATGAAGCTCTGGATAGCAATAAATTGCATGGTGTGGCCATTATAAGACTTCATAGGAAATTTGGTCATCTCCAAGATGCTAAGATTACCTGGCAAAGTATCAGAAAGCCACTATCAGTTCCTAAGTTAAATCTCTTATAATTTTTTTAATATTGTAAGCTGCCCAGAGTTATCCTGTGGTAAGATGAATTTTATAAACAAACAAATAATATTTTTGTTTTATTGGAAAGGAGGCTTTTTCTTTGCTTCCTTTACTCAAAGGATCTATTGCATTTGCAGCTCCTCTGAATTATATGCAAGGGGGCTTCTCTTCTGAGAAACAAACATTTCTACTCTTAGCATGTGAAGAAATAATACTTTGTTCACTTTCAAAGAAAGTAATACATTCTGCAATTCAGCCTTTAAGCCAACAACATAAATCGCTTAATATCATACCTCCCACTTTGAAGCTGGATATGCAAAGTGGTAAAAGGTTCAACCCGAATGAGGTAATGCATGACCCCAGCTGCATTGGAGTAGTGAGTCCCATAGTGAAACTTGTCAATAATTCCAAGGGGGTCTTCAAAGTTATCATATCTTAAAAAGCAAAACAGAAAAATAACTGTGAATCTTTTGGTATTTATTGTTTTATTTATTCTGAGAAATTATATTAGTATCATTTACCATCTGAGAATAAAAAACACCCAGATTTTAAAAATAATAGACAAAAAGAATCTGGGAGCTGATCTATCAAGTTTTTCTTTTTTCTTTTTTTAACTAGGCTGGATTGAAACACTAAAGTAAACCAGTATTGACTTTTTAGTTATGACTCTATACCGAATAAATACCATATAGTGAGTCTTTGAAAAGCAAGGAAAAAATAAGAATTTTTGCACTGAAAATATTTTATACAACAATTTTACATTTTCTATACTAATATAGAACACAAAGACTCTGCCTATCATCCAAATAATTCCTTTCAATTAAAAAAATGTTTAAGCATTCATATACACCAACTTCACAATGCTTCCTCCACTGGGATTTCTTAATGTGACATGCAGTCCCAAATTCTCAATGATAAACAACCATTATTTTAGCAATATAGCTATCAACGTTCTTTTTGGCAACAGTTTTATTATTGCTTACTTCCCTCCACGTCCAATAACTCTGCTTCAGTTTTATTGGCTGGGACAATTTAAAATGCTCTTATCCTAAATCTGCTTATCAATGAATACTTGAACAGTTTTCTTCAATTCTTCACTACCATCTGAACAATAAATTCCACTTACTAGTTGGAAGAGAAGAACAAGCATAAACATTAAGTAGAAGTAGATCTATAATAAGGACATCAATTAAATGATTATTTCAAAAGAAATACCTTTCCTTTACAGCTCTCACATTCTTTTCATTCACTACACCAATAGGTTTAGACAAATCCCGAAATACTGCAGGATTATTCAAATCCAATTCTTCTGAAGTATAATCCTGCAGGATCCATGGAAACTTGAACAAAAAGGAGAATATTCTTCAAATCTCATATTTTTTTTGATAAAATATAATATTATGTCTAGTCAGAAACAATGGACATAAATAATACTTACAACCGGATATTGTGCAAGATCATTGTAGGTTCGTCCTGCCATAGTATTTAACTGAATGAGGTAATCAAAATTGGATATTTCCCTGTTCACCCATTTCTAAATAAAGAAAACCCAATGTTGAAGCTAATGTTGTGTAAAAAGAGTTAGTGATGTATTTTAGTATAATTTAAGCAAACAAAATGGTAATCTTAAAGCAGCATTCATGTTTATTCAGATTCATGTCACCCGACTCCTACAACCCATACAGAACTAGAACCATATAACCATGAAAAAAATTTTTTTAATCATATTATTGTTGCTTTCCTATATAATCCAACAAATGTGACTTGCAGCAGAATGCTCCATTTAGGATGAGGTTATGTAAAATAAAGCTAATATTAGTTTTGTCATTGTTGAGAAGGAAATCGATTTCATCCTATATACATCACAAGTTAAAGTTTATTGTACTCTTCAAGTGATAAACTGTTTTTAATATAGAATAGAAGCAGAAATAGAAGTTATCATTTAAATAACTTCTATTTATCTGTATTTTTAAAAATTAGCTCAGACATCAGCTGAGGGAGCTATTATACCAAGTAAAAAGACACATGAATTATTTTTAATGTCCCCACCATTCAGCTTATTATCCTACCTGAGTCAATCCAGAAGTTTTGAATAATTCTTGGGGAGATCTGGTCCCACTAATATTTTGAGAACACAGAGACAGAATTCGGCTATATATTCTGTTTCTTGCCTACAACAAAGAAGGTACATATGTTAATTTATTAAATAACATCATCAGAATTTCCCTATTTTCATATTTGGGCTTGCTGTTTTGGCAACCTGATTCTGGGGCTAATCATGCAATTTATCATTTTACTGTCATAAATTCTCATGCATTTCAATAAACACTATTACATTATTTAACAGTGCTTTGCCTCAACATTTGTCATAACCCGGGATCATGCTATTCTCAAAAAAAGATGTTTTATTTGTATTATGTTTTTGTGAAAACCCAAATAAAATTTATATTAAAAAAAAAACATTTGTCATCTCCAGCAATGATGGCCCACTACACTAAGCGTTGAAGAAGGGTATATGCTCAATGAAGATGTTAAAACCAATGTTGGTTTTCTTTTAAGCATACCTGCATAAAACATGGTATTTGAATTAGATATTTTGGCTTTCATTATTAAACATATCAGCTAGTCACAAAAATAGTTAAAATGCACCTAAGATCCTAATATGAAATAAAACCATTCAATTACTTCACCATCCAAGCTGAGTTCATTTTAGCACAGTCAGGAATACTGTTGAATTGAACTCATTCATCTGTCCACAGGAGATCACTGGCCAAAGTTATTCAGTAATGAAAATGATATTTTAGGGATTTCTCTCAAGGTATTCTGCATAAGAAACAAGTAAAATTACTTACCTCCTTTTTAAAATTAAGGAAATAATTAGTCTGGTCAATAAAGAAGATCTCCAAAGCCGACCTCCTCAGATTATAACGGCGCAAGTGAATCTCTCGAATTTGAGAAAGAGGCCATTTAAAATCAAAACCTATACCTGGATGAAGAAGAATTTCAGTTTATTCTTAACTATATTCAAAGAGAAGGTATATGATAATTATGAAAGTCAAGAAGATCTGGTAAAGTCAAGAAGATCTGGTAACATGGTTGGAAAAGTTAAAAAATGCCAATTGGAATGAGCTAAAATAGAAACCTTGCTAAAAATCATAGAAGGACTGAGCAATCAGAGGCATCAGGACCATATTATTTCAAACTACCTTTTTATAGTTCCCTATCACTGAAAGTCAATAGTAACATTTATTAACAATTAAGATATGAAATAAAGAAGAACTGTAGTATAAATTCTGATCCGTTGTAATCTGTTAAACAAAAAAGAACAAATGACAAATAAATCTGCCCCCTCCAAAGAACCTATGCACCCAGGAAGCAGATAAAGGCAAGCTGAAGTGTGAAGCTGCATTGTGAGAGGCTGGGAAAGGGGTTGGGAGCACTTTCAACTTGCATTCTTATAAATAGATGTTTATGATAGTAGCCATTTTGACAAAGTACTCATGTCACATCCCCCAATCATCAACCACAAAAGATTAAGGGGAAGATTTGGTAATATTCAGTAATATTTTTCTCCATGGCAATGCAAATGGAGAATTCTATATTATTAAGCATTTGAAATATTTCTTCCAGAAATTCATTCCAGTGTGAAAGAGTGTATGTAGCCAATTAACTACTCTATACTACACAGAGTAGTGCAACCAAAGTCCAAAGGTCTTACCTTCTTTTTCAATGCTGCCATCATAAAAGTAAATGTGTTGTGTAGTGACCTCCAGCCTGCCAGATATTATATTCATTATTGTAATAAGTTCACAGTCTTCTGAGAGCACAAGTTTTTCTTTTTGACCCTGCTCTTCCTTTTCATCCCTGCAGCAGAAATATCAAATGAGAGGCTTGGTTAGCTTGACAACACAAACATTACAAAACAAGGCATCAGCATTTCTTACAAAATAATCATTATTTGAACCTCTTAAACATATCTTATACAAATGATCCATCACTAAGTACTAATTATTAAGTAGCCAGATTAGTCTCAAGTATGATTAGCAATGTTTTCACTCTATACCTTAAACAAGTGACAACAGAAAGAAAACACTCCTTAAGAAGATAAAATCATGAATAAACGAAAATTTCATCCTGTAACAAATTTCTCATTTCTAAGTTATGAACAGTGAGAACTTAATTATCACACTGCCAGCACAAGAGATGTTAAACATGATTCCTAAAATATATTTTATTTAGATCTTTTATATAATTAGAAGAAAATATAGTTTGAGCATGTGGTTTTTGAAATAAAATATCTGAATATAAGAATAAAGTAAAAGGGTAGGCAAGTTGTATGTAAGTAAGTAAATAGTTTTGTTTGAACTTACTTAGCAGAAGAGATGTGGTATTAGTCTATATTTACTATCTATGGCCAATATAAAAAAATGACAAAGGATATTATATTTAATTTTTTAAACTATATTTTCAAAAATCATGATATGAAACATTAAAAGTATTTGTTTCCTTGACAATTTTGTAATCTGTTTTCTTATTAGTAGTTTTTAAAAAAAATTGAAAGTTTTTTTTCCTTTGGAATGAAACAAATTTTCATCTATCAGAATGCAGCTAACTTTAAACATTCTAACCATCATATTAGGTGGACTGTTTCATTCCAAGTTTAAAAAGAAAGATATTTCCATTTCATGCATGCTCATGTCTGAATTGGAATACATTTTGTAGAATGTGGAGAGAGGTTTAAAAAAAAAAAATCCTGATGAGTATCCCCACAATATTATACCCTTTGGAACCTGGTTCTGAATTCACATACTCTTCTACATACGTATTTGTACTGGATGTTGGATCTTCATCTGGTAGTTCAAGTATATCATCTTCCATATCACCGACTTTTACTTGCTTCACTGCCTCCAGAAGCAAAGCTTCCCTTGATGGTGGCATCTGTAATACTCCTTGAAAGATGAAGTGGGAATATTCAATTAAACAAATCAATTTCATTTTACACTCTAACAGAGCATGTATCTCAATGAATAAAATAAACATGAAGAACAATTAATCAGTGGAACAACTTGCTTCCTAAAGTTGTGGGTGTTCCAACACTGAAGGATTTTAAGAAGAGACTGGACAACCATTTGTCTGAAATGGTATAGGGTCTCCTGCTTGAGTAGCGGGTTGGACTAGAAGACCTCCAAGGTCCCTTCCAATTCTGTTATTTTGTAACATTGCATTGGCATCACAGTAGGACTCCTTTTTTTCTTTCTGCACATGCAGAAAGGATTATTGAACTAGCCGAAGCACTTTATATATTCCTCCACATGTGTATTTAAGAGAAGTTACTTAGCAGAGCTTTGCAGACTACAATATTGTATTGTCCATACTTGCTCATCTGCATTCTTACTTGTAGCCATTAAGATAAAGAGACAATATGGGCTCCCTAATCTAACATCCTCCAAGGGAAGGGAGAACAATAACTACCTAAAAACAATATTCTCATAAAAAAGGATCACTTAATATTTGCAGGTGCTGTCTGCTACAGATCCTGTTTATTAATTAATTTAAATTTACTTTTATTTCATTCAATAAAACCATTCTGAGTTATTTTACACTGGTTTGAGCCTATTTCCTTCAAATCCTAAAAAAAAATATTGGTTTCTGTTTGTCTACTGGGCTGCCAACATAATCAATCATTCCTCCATCTGTAGAAAAATTCCTATAATTACATAGTTCCACTTATATTATAGTGTAATTTTAGCAGATAAGCAAAAGTAGATTTGCTCAGAAAAGGAACACTTTTAACAGAAACAGAAAATAGAATTTTCTATACTTGAAAGAAATTAAAAAGTTCAGTGAAAAATCAGGATTGAATATTTTAAAGAGCATCAAAAGCATCACAGCCACTTAGCCTCACCTAGATTATCCCTCAGGGCACTGGCCTCCTGGTGAGAGTTGAAATTGTAATTTTGCACTAATTTTAGCCTCATTCGTGAATAATTTTCCACATTTGAAAGTTTCCAGTGAATGAGATTCGGCTTCCTGATGAAAGGGTTATAACAAAAGAAATTGAACAACGTTAGGTATGTGATGTTACTGTTTGTACTGAAAAGAATGAGAAGATACAAATACAAGATCTTTTTTTAAAAGCCTGCAGCAATTATATTTTCTATTTCATTTTTTTCTCTCTCTACTGTTCCAGAGGAAGCATGAAGATCGCTCTAGTTGGGGAAAATAACCTGATTTCTTCTTATAGAAAATGACCATCAAGCAAGCTGAACTGGATTTCTTTGTTATACTAAAAGCATATAGGGAATTGTTTTATCTCTCTTTGATAATTATGAATTATCTCTGCCAATAGCTCAAAACAACCCTGACTTCCCCCTCAAAAGAGGAAGGGGTTAGGCATTTTTATTGCATGTGAAGTCAGGGCTTCAACAAGAATCATGAAATCTAATGGACTAACTGTGATATCTCAAAGCAAGAGTGAGCAGAATTCCAATTGGCAGGACCAACTTTTTTCCTTTAGAATTCTAAGTGTAATCAACTGCAGAGATGAATAAATTAAAAGGCAGGTTTAGAACCTGAGTCCAGGAATTTGTTCCAGGTATCAGAAGTTGAGAATTTGATGTGTGCTACTACAAGCGATATCATTTAAGCAGGAAGAGGAGAGTTATTTTGCTTCTACTTTGGATGAATAATAGATAATGAACTATTGCCAAATTACTGCAAGTCAACAAGCACTCCAACTTCTGCCCACCCCTGGAAAACTAACCATGCAACCATCAGATCCCAAAATGTGCTACAAAAATATCCAGGATTTTCTTTCTCTTTTTTTATTGTCACATGAAGGGTAAAATATGCTTCATGGAGAAAGAAAACATGCTGATTTCCATACCTTTCAGCCCAAGGGCCTTGTTCACAGGTAAGGTAAAGTTTGGCAGCTCTCCACTGTCTCAAAGTTGTTGTGTGCTGATTATTTAACTGTTTTAGCATTCCATTGTAACGCATGTTCTCCTGCCGTGCCCTCCGGTTAAATGGCTCTACAAAAAATTCCTAGAGACAGAAACATAATAAATCTTAAAGAAGTGCTTAGGAAGGCTAGAACAAAGGACTTGAAAAACCTGTTAGATGAGAGCTTACTGTAACAACAAAAATAATAATCCAAATTACATATAATACATAGAAGCGAGTGTGTTCCTTTTTAGTCATTAACCAGATAAAAAAATATAACTCTGTGCATCACTAGTCAAAAAAACAAATGCACCCCAGGCAAACCTTTATATGAAAAATTGATTCCAACATCAGCCAAAGGAGAATTAATGTTAGATTTTCTTTCCTTCACTGTCAAAGATACAATATTGATGAAAGACAAATGGTTGACACCATGTCCTATGGAATCCAGTCTCAAAATACAAGTAGTCCTTAAGTTACAACTGTACATTTAGTGACAATTTGAAGTTACAATGGCACCAAAAAAGTTACTTATGACCATTTTTTACACTTATGACTGTTCCCCATGGTCATGTGATTTACATTCAGATGCTTGACAACTGGCTCATATACATGACGGTTGCAGTGTCCTGGGGTCATGTGACCACCTTCTGATAAGAAAAATCAATAGGGAAGCCAGATTCACTTAATGATTCACTTAAGAAATGTGGCAAGAAAAGTGATAAAACTCACTTAACTAATTTCTCACTTAGCAACATAAATTTTGGGCTCAATAGTGGTCATAAGTTAAGGACTGCCTGTATTGCCATCTTAACATGATTTTCTTGCTGAGGCAAACTTCTGAGAAAGTCACTCAGATTTTACCTGAAATTTGAGCTTGCTTTCTCCTCTCTCCCGTTCACGTTTATGGATGTTGACCATTAATGCCTCAAAGCAATCCTTCCAATATAGTGCCATACGTTCATGGCCATCACTGAAAATGCTGAGCTCGTACTGCTTCATATTAGGGATAATCTAGTTCATGAAGCATAAGAAGGTTAATGCACACTCCCCTTTTTGGAGAGAAAAAGCATTTTAAGAAATTACAACTTACATATTTGTCAATGTAAGCTTGCCATTCATCAGTTCTACAATAGTCCTGGAAATCCTCAAAAAAGGAAGGGCTTCCATTAGTAGAAGGCAAGGAAGGCAAGTGTAAGTTCATGAACAGAAGGTCATATATTTTGGAAATAAGAGTTCGAACTAGAGGGATCAAGAAGGAATAAGTTTCAGTCTTTTCTTGGATAGATCTGCTCAGGATGCCTTCCAGTTTTCCCAGCAGGTAACAGGATTCCGCTTGGTTGTCAAATACTTTGGTCTGAAGGAGGGTGTTGAGCTTGGCTGCAGCCATTGCACAAACCTGGAATAGGGTAAATGGGAAGAAAAATAACAGTCAAACAATACAGATAATGTAAGTTATATATTTTTCCCAAAAGATATTTCAATTCTCCAATTGCATCTCTTCAAATCCCAAACATTTTGGGGTCCTGGGGCACATTTGAAATTTTGAGAGCATACTACAGGGACTCTCTTGAAATGCTTTTGATGGTGGCTGTCATAAGTCACTGCGTTGAAGCCTTTCCAAGGGCATTTCTGTGCTCTAGAGGCATTACTGAAACTTTAGGTAGTACTTGAGGCTGATCCTTATTTTGCGGTTTGTTGATTCCCATTTGATATTGTTGTCCTGAGATAAATTAAGTAGAGCAAGAAGCTTAGCAGGAAAAATATTATTCCATAAGGGGAGAACCTACATTTGCATTTAGAATAGAATAGAATATTTTATTGGCCAAGTATGATTGGACACACAAGGAATTTGTCTTGGTGTAAATACTCTCAGTATACATAAAGAAAAGGTACATTAGTTAAGAATCAAGAATCATAACGTACAACACTTAATGAGAGTCATAGGGTACAATCAACAATCAAATCATACTAGGAAACAGTCAAGTGGGAGGAGGATGGGTGAGAAGGAGTGGTGAGAAGATTAACAGTAATAGTAGTGTACACTTTGTAAAGTGTGTTGAGGGAATTATTTGTTTAGCAGAGTGATGGCTTTCGGGGAAAAACTGTTCTTGTGTCTAGTTGTTTCTCTTTATAACTCAAGGCACTGCACACAGGGCTCCCAAATATTCCTGACTTTCAGTTGGCTCAGGTCTTATTGTTATTATGATAACCATGAAAGCACAACTCAATAAAATTAGACATATCAAAAGCATTTATTAGTGCACCCAAATTATATATTGATTATTAGCATATTCTCACCATACATTGTATTTATTGTTTATTTATATTTATATTCAAGCCTTCTTCCGAAAAGCCTCAGAAATATATACAGCATCTTCCTGAATCCTTTCAGTCTTTATAAGGAAGTTAGGCTAAAAAAGACACTCTAAACTAATGATAAACTCTGATTTATTATGAAGAAAATATTATATCTTGGATTCACAATTTCTCCACAGGTAGATGGACTTAATAAAAAGGACATTTGTCATTTGAAATAAATCAGTGGCCTAAACAAAAGAAGGGAACCATGGTTTGTACAATGACATATTCTAATCAGAGAAAGCAGAAGCTGGTATTTTTTCCTGAATTGTATTTAGACATTCTCATACATTTATACATTAATAAATTATACTTTAAATCCATCCAGATAGCAAAGTTCTCTTTTATTGTGTATTAAGTAAGGATATTCAAGCCCCAAATTTGCCAGAAGGTATTTCTTTGCGAAAGAAAATCAAAGTTTACCATACTTGTGCACAAAAACCTTCAGTAATACAACACACCTGTAAATTATCCTGTCCAATGAATCCAAGAAGCAGCTGGACCTGTACTTGATAGAGCTTCACGTTTTCTGGGCCAGAAGAATACCAGATTGCCAAAGTATCCACGAGCGTCACCAGTTCTTCCAAAAGCTATGCAGAATTAAATCCAGAATTAAGAGAAAAAAAGTTCAGAATGTAAGCTGAGGAACATTTGAATGCATGGCCCACAACACAAGAAGGTATAATGTTCAATTGTGTTATTTTAAAATGTTTCTATTCTGTCACAGTTAAAACTATATAATGATTGAGGAAAACTACTATAGAATTAGAATGACTTGAGTTTGATTATTTGGGAGGATTTTAATAGATTTACTATCATTTGTTGATGTTTAGAAGTGTTGGCAAATACTTTTTTATGTTAAACCCTTGCTAGAGAAAAGTGATCCTTACTTTTTTCCACACCTGGATAAACTTTTGAAGATTAAGAGTCACATGGTGTCGTGTCTGAAGCCAGTGTGATAAAGCAGTGAGTACAGTATTGCTGGGTAGGGACTGAGGTGACCTGAGATCTGTTATCCATAATGGAAAATAATTGGGTGACTTGGGGGTCAATTGCTCTCTCTTACCCCTAAAGAAGGAGGCAACGATAAATCATTTCCAAAAATATTGCCAAGAAAGCTGCATGGATTTGTCTGAATAAATCAAGACTGACCTGCACCAACAGATCATAATTGGTATAGTCAGGTCTACTTATGGACAACACTGTCACCTAAAAGGAGGGAGGGGAAAAGCTGGGAAAAATATATTGATGAAGCAATTCAACTGTTCATTTCACAGAAGCTTTGTAAGTGGAAGATAAATGACAAGCAGAGAATAGAAATTGCCAAACAGCAACATTTGTTATCACTGTATAATTTCTTCCTCACAGAATCTTTGATGAAACTTTAAAATGTATTTATTGACTAAAGTTTTTAAAACTTACACTTAAAAATTAAATTTGGAAAAATTATTCTTAGAGAATTTACCAAATACTCCAACAATACTTGAGGGCAAATCCATGTAAATGTAATTTAAATTTAAATCATTTAAATGTAGCCTTTTAAATCAATATCTTGTATTTTCAAAGAAGATGAAAATGTAAGCAATTGCACCTGATAATTGGCATCTTTCCAAAGCTATATAGTTTCATACTGACCTTTTCTGTCCAGAGTCTTGAATTCACGAGACCTTCTGCTTGCAGGAAATCCTGAACAATGAACAAGAGTCGGAAAGCATTTTCTGTGTACACTGGGAGGGATTTGGCTTCTCTTGTGTCAGTGACTGCCCACTCCAGCATCTTCTCTAACAAACTAAGTTAAAAGAAAGAGGTGGCACAAAATGAACAACATTTGTGAATTTTAGTTACTGATGGAAAGGCAGCAGGAAAACAGCTAAACTCAATGTTGCTATTATTTAGCTTTTGCCACTGCAACCAAGAAATTATATTCTGTGAAATAGTCTAGTTATGTTCTCAGATGTTATACAAAGTTATGTTCTACTTTAATGTTCAAATTAATCACTCTAGTTGTCAAACAGAAGAGTTCCCATGAGACAGTCCCATTGTTTTAAGGGGCTGCTTTTGTCAAGCCAAAAAGCCCCTACCTTCCTGTCTTTTTATACAAGCCTGAAACACCTGGTTCTGCCAGTTGCCCTTGTGAGCCAATATGGGAATACCACACTGGAGGTGGCTATTAGACAAATAGCTATCTCCACCTCACCCCATGCCGCCGACTCCCTTCCCTACCATCTTTTAATTCATATTGCTGAACTTTCATTATGTTTTACTGTTATATTTACATGTTTTATAATTTTTATTCTATTGTTGTAAGCTGCTCAGAGTAGCCACACAGCAAGATGGACGACAAATAAATTTAATACAAAAATAAATACATAGATTTTTTTCACCCATTCCATTTTAGCCTTGCATACCCCAAAAAGTGAATCATCACATTATGGTGATTCTCCAAATGGGAAGAACTGGCATGGGCTGACAGAGGAAATTGGCTTCAGCAAAAGGAACCTCCATTTACAGAAGCTGCCTCTCCTCTCCTGTCAGCGCCTCCTTAACTCAAATGCATGTTTTCTGGGGAATAGAAGAAAAATGTGTAGCTCCTTTAAGGAGAGAAGGTCTAGCAGACATAACTGGAATGCACGCTCATAACTGCTCTGAAACCCTTTATCAGCTTTAGATCCAAACATCTATTCCTGATGTTAAATCAGAAAGGTGGTGGAACCAACCTAGCTTTTTAAACTTTTGTAGAACTGTAAACTGAGTTTGAATATCTCAAAATGCTTACTGGCAGTCTGGTCTTTAAGTTATATAAACACCTATTTGGACATTTTGCTCCTGATATTATTGCCATGTCTGAAATTCTGTATTTGTTAAATATAACACAGGAATTAAAGAAGCTTTTGTGTTAGCTTGCCTTTAAATAGGAAATGGAAGGAAGCAAATAAAATAAATATTCACTATTTACTCAGTTTCTGGATCTAGAATGTCTGATTTGTGAAAACAAAGGAAGCTAGTTTCTGCTGTTAGTATACATAAAATTATTTTGCATACATACATTGGACCCTTCTCACAAAGGAGGCCCTCTTTTGGACATTCAATCTCTGAATATTTGACCATCTTGTAGGACTCAGGGCTCAAAATGGCATTTAAAGTTGAATAAACATCATGCTACCCACAAACAGTAGGGCAGTGGGTTAATTATATACCACTCAGTATCTGACAAATAATACTATCCAATATGGTTTGTTACAAATCTCTGCTTGTTGATGCAATTCAAGAACTGAACCATTAATTCACATGGTCTGACTTGTCATACCATTGCCTTATCATTTTGCACATGGGGATAATCATAAAAAATATAATACATTGGAAATAAAGCTACAACTGATTTGTGAAATAAGTCCCATTTACATTATTGAATACTGTAAGGACAGACTCAATTAAAAAAAGACAAGAAAGATACTTTTGAGCAATATAGACAAATTTTAAGCACCCTCTTCCTTCTCTTTAAAAATAACTTATGTGGTGTTTATACTGTTAATTCAGATCACATTAATTAACTTCAGGTCATCATTTTTCTTTTCTGCTTTCCATTATCACTCTTTTTCTTTCAAAAAAACCCCAAATTTTGAAAAGTAATAATTTGACCTACTTGAGTTTAATCTCATCTGATGGTAGTAGTAATTCATTAGAGATGCCCAATTTGGTAAGCGCAGAAAAAACCTGACCCTTCTCAATCCAAGCTGCATCATCTGATCTCTCAATGCCTTTCCACATCACACAAAGCAAAATATCTGTCAGAAGCTGAAGGAGATCTTCTTTGCATCCCTAGTAAAAGCAGACAGACATTTTAAAAGATCACAGTAGTTTTGAAAAGCATCTTATTAATTTTACTTAGAAAGAGCAGATCAATTCCACTTCATAACAAAGATTCACAGCTTATACACTGCTCAAAAAAATAAAGGGAACACAAAAATAAGACATCCTAGATCTGAATGAATGAAATATTCTTATTAAATACTTTGTTCATTACATAGTTGAATGTGCTGACAACAAACTCACACAAAAATTATCAATGGAAATCAAATTTAGCAACCCATGGAGGTCTGGATTTGGAGTTACACTCAAAATTAAAGTGGAAAAAAACACTACAGGCTGATCCAACTTTGATGTAATGTCCTTCAAACAAGTCAAAATGAGGCTCAGTAGTGTGTGTGGCCTCCACGTGCCTGTATGACCTCCCTACAACACCTGGGCATGCTCCTGATGAGGTGGCAGATGATCTCCTGAGGGATCTCCTCCCACACCTGGACTAAAGCATCCCCCAACTCCTGGACAGTCTGTGATGCAATGTGACGTTGGTGGATGGAGCGAGACATGATATCCCAGATGTGCTCAATTGGATTCAGGTCTGGGGAATGGGCGGGCCAGTCCATAGCATCAATGCCTTCGTCTTGCAGGAACTGCTGACACACTCCAGCCACATGAGGTCTAGCATTGTCGTGCATTAGGAGGAACCCAGGGCCAACCACACCAGCATATGGTCTCACAAGGGGTCCGAGGATCTCATCTTGGTACCTAATGGCAGTCAGGCTACCTCTGGCGAGCACATGGAGGGCTGTGCGGCCCCCTAAAGAAATGCCACCCCACACCATTACTGACCCACTGCCAAACTGGTCATGCTGGAGGATGTTGCAGGCAGCAGAACGTTCTCCACGGCGTCTCCAGACCCTGTCACGTCTGTCACATGTGCTCAGTGTGAACCTGCTTTCATCTGTGAAGAGCACAGGGCGCCAGTGGCGAATTTGCCAATCTTGCTGTTCTCTGGCAAATGCCAAACATCCTGCACGGTGTTGGGCTGTAAGCACAACCCCCACCTGTGGACGTCGGGCCCTCATACCATCCTCATGGAGTCTGTTTCTGACCGTTTGAGCAGCCACATGCACATTTGTGGCCCACTGGAGGTCATTTTGCAGGGCTCTGGCAGTGCTCCTCCTGTCCCTCCTTGCACAAAGGCGGAGATAGCAGTCCTGATTCTGGGTTGTTGCCCTCCTACGGTCTCCTCCACGTCTCCTGATGTACTGGCCTGTCTCCTGGTAGCACCTCCATGCTCTGGACACTATGCTGACAGACACAGCAAACCTTCTTGCCACAGCTCACATTGATGTGCATCCTGGATGAGCTGCACTACCTGAGTCACTTGTGTGAGTTGTAGACTCCGTCTCATGCTACCACTAGAGTGAAAGCACCGCCAGCATTCAAAAGTGACCAAACCATCAGCCAGAAAGCATAGGAACTGAGAAGTGGTCTGTGGTCACCACCTGCAGAACCACTCCTTTATTGGGGATGTCTTGCTAACTGCCTATGCTTTCCACCTGTTGTCTATTCCATTTGCACAACAGCATGTGAAATTGATGGTCAATCAGTGTTGCTGCCTAAGTGGACAGTTTGATTTCACAGAAGTGTGATTGACTTGGAGTTACATTGTGTTGTTTAAGTGTTCCCTTTATTTTTTTGAGCAGTGTATTAAAAACTGCTAATATTACAGATTCTAAAATGAAAATAGGCAGCTTTTTTGACTGATGAGCTCCAGAAAACTATACAATCATATCTTACACTGTTTTTTAAAAGACAGAAAAGGAAACATATTGAAAGAGGTGGCCTAAAAATAGGTGCAAAAGTGCAAGAAACTTAAAATAAGAAAATAAATAACCCAGAGCAATTTGCATGACAGTTCTAAGATGCATCTCATTCATTCAATTTCTTTCATTCATTCACTCACTTACTCATTCATTCATTCATAATGATTTGTTGAAAAATGTATATGTCACCCATCTTATACAAAGTAACCTTAGATGGCAACTATAAATCAAATATAATTAAAATTAAAAACCATAGTGCTCCAACCAAAGCATTTCTGAAGTATCAGGAGGAAAGAGGATGTACTGTATGGCTCTTCCAAGAGATGCACATCTGGAAACTGGCTAACAATTGTCTGCTTACAATCTCAAGCAATCCAGATGGAGATAACTGCCAGACTTGGGAAAGAAGCAGGAGTATCAATTTTGTATTTATGTACACTGGGGATATCTCACTAAATTCTTACTGATTCATGTTATTTTTTTAAAAAATCAGTACAAACCAGCAAGGGTATATTTTAGCCATGTACCTCATGAATTTCAAATAAGGAAAGATCAGCAGCAAATACCAGGTCCTCTGCAGCATTTGGTTCCTTGTCAAGCTGTCCAGAAAATGTCTTTGTATTCTCTATGGGAGAAGGGGTGCTGGGCAGACTATCAGCCATCTGGCTCCCACTGTCACCCAATTCATAAGAGTCAACACTTGAGAGGTCTAAGCTTAAATGTAGATTCTTCTGCCACAAGTCTTCCTGGTCCTCAGGCCTAAAGGGCATCTCCCTCACAGATGTATCCTCCAGCACTGTCACAGATTTGCCATCTTCTAAACTCCACTGATCACAAGAACCATTGACAGATGCAAAACTAGCACCATCTTCCCCATCAGCCTTGGAAGTACGACCCTGCTGATGGTCTTTGGCAGAAGCACGCTTATCATCTCCTTTAGTAGAGTCGCTTTTAGTGTCCCTCACACCATTCCTGACATCAGCATGCTCTTTCAGGAACAGTCGAGTCAGCGTCTCCTGCCACCCAAGTTGCTGAGAAATCTGTTGCGCTGAATCTTGTTGGGAATGTAGGATTTGCAAAAGCTACCAAAAAACATAGATTCAAAGGCAATACATTGTAAAAGTTTTGTGTGCTTTAGATTTATTTTTGTTTCCTGAATGAAATACAATAAAATAACTTTCTCAGTTTCTTATAACCTACTTATTATTCTTTCTGTTAAACGCTTATAAACTAATACTAACAATAGCCAGAGAAGTGTTAAATGAACATTGCAAGTACTAAGCTAAATAAAACCATCTTTAGAAAAGTCCCATTTAGATGAATAGGGCATGGATTGTTATTAACATTATATCAGTTTGGCTAGGGCTCTTTACAGAACTTTTTCCCATATTCCCAGAACCATGCTTTCTATAGCTTCTTAAGAAAAATAACTCCAGAAATTAAGAAAAGCACAATAAAAGGAAGATGAAAGCTAGCATCTGGGATTGCCTGGTGAGGGTGAAGGGAGCAGCAAATGCTACTAGTAGGAAGAGCAAAACCATAATATGTTTTCCACTAAGTTGCTATTCCTCCCTGAGAGAGAGGGGGGAAGGGGAGAGGGAGGGAGAGAGGGAAGAATAGAGGAAGAACAGACTCTGGTTGCTAGTATGGCTTTTTCTCCAGCAACCAAAGCAGAAATGCCCCTGGAAGCACAGAGTCCCATGGCCAGATGGGAGGGTGAGGTTCTGCAGCAGGATAATTAAAGTTACCATCCTCCTTCTCCAGCTGAATCAGAATGCTGACATAAGACTGAGATGGAGGCTGCTTTATGAGGATATGTCCTTAGGCAAATGATTAGGGGAACGATCTGGTGCTTAGGTCAGAGAAGCATGAAGAAGAGGTCCAATTATAGGATCCATCCCATAATTATTTAAGTCCTAAACAATGTCCACATTTGTCTTTTCAAAAGTAGTAAATTTAATTTCAGTATATATTACTCTATACTGGACGCACAGACATCATAAAAATGAAAGCACTGAATGCCAAAGATATATAACCCACAGAGCACTACTGAAAAATGCTCATCTTAGACTATCTTTATTGTGCTCTGAAAAATAGATGAAGAGAACCAGATATTGTCAGCCCTATGGAAAAACCAACTGCACAGGAGAACTAAAACTACATTTTATTGACAGAAGCTCTGGTAACAAAATCTTGCATGCCAAATTGCACTTTTCCTACCATCCCTCTTATATCCTAGTGAATCAGAGATTCAGTCTGAACCAGTCTACCTCAATATTAGCTTGTTTCCCAGGATTTAAGGACTGTTTCAGCCCTCTTTGTTTAAATAACAATGGTTCTTACCGATTTCCTCAAAGCCATCTCCCTCTCTTCAGATACAGTATAAAGGTAGGATTAGCATTCAAAAATGCAGATCTTACTGCAAGAACTATGAAAACTGTTAAGAAAGAAAGCCAGTGACTGCCAAGGCCTGGCCTGATTCTGGACAGGAAGAAGAGTTTCCATCTATTCCATGTTCTGATAATAGGTTTGCAGATTGTCTTCTGACTTTGGTGGTACTAGCTGTCTCACTAACCATTAGATTGGTTAATTTCAATTGGTTAATTTCAATTGCCAATTTCAATTGGCAAATTTCTCTCAGGGTGCACTATCAGCAGGAATATTATTGAAGATAGACATATTATTACAGAGAAATGATACACTTGCATCTTATCCTCTGCAGCTACCTCTATAAGAGCAATGGTCTGAAGAGTTCACCAAGTATTTAAGAAATCCTAACATCCACAATTATTTTCCAGACTATTAATAGGCTGACCACTATTTAATATTAATGTGCCTCCCCACAAAGACACTAACCTTTCGACAGGCAGCCACTCTTACGTTTAGATCTGCTCGATGAGCCAAGTGCACCACAGCTAAAAAGTCCTTGCAATTCACAAATGGATCTGTAGAGTACAGAAACTTATTACAACAATAAAGAAATTCATTTCTATCAAAATGCCATAAAAGTACAAAAATATGGCTATCAATATATGTTTGCTATTTTGCTAGCTAGCCATATTTCTGCTATTTGCACATTTTACAGCATGTTATGCTGGACATATGCTATGTGGAAAAGCTAATAAGCATTTGAGTACCAGCATGCAGAACTTGGTTGAAAAGGTTCTTCATAAGAGAAGTGCTAAGTGGAGATTCATTCAGGAGCAGACCCAATCCAGAATAGCCAACTTCTCTGAGTTTCATACGTTGTTTGCTCCGTTCATAAACTTTAGTGCATTTAAGCATTTGCTCTGCAATCTGCAACACATACACACAAAAAACATGAACTTCTCAGCCAGGGACAAACTGAAAATTCTGCAAACAGGACCTCAGTGGAAAAGCAGAATTCAAATAGACTTTTCATAGAAAAAACAACTCTATTCTTTAACTTTTTATTATTATTTGCCTGTTGATTTCTGGAAGTTACATCACCCAGCACAAAATAATAGTTTCCATAGTTATAGCCCAAAAGATGCCCATCATTATGACAAATGGTGTCTACATAGGAAAAGGAATTTGCAAATTACAAAGCTGGACTAGATTTGTGTGTGATTTTGCCAGAAAGTGAGATGAAGAAATACAAATCTCATAAGGAAGTCAGATTAAGCTTTCTTTCCTGACCTCATGGACCTCAGCTACTTAAGATATATTGGCATCTCTCTATACTCTATCCACCTTCTAAATATCTCCCAGAAGAAAAAGTATTTGTCAATTCCCTAAACTTAATACAAGCTAATTTGAAAGAGGAGTTATGCCTTGTTTCTTCTTCCAAAAAATCCATGCTTCATATAAAAATGCACAACCTTGCTAATACCTTCAATCACTTTAGGAGAGATGTAAAACAAAATTACCTTGAACACAAGTTCTTGTAGTCTATCAGAATACCTCTGATTCAGTAGAAGAGCATAAAGGATGTCTGCATTTCCTGGTTCAAAAAGCAATAAGAAAAGCTGATCTCGGGTTGGGCAGGTGTTAAGCAGGCTGAAGAGCATATCCAGAATCCCAAAGAGCTTGGGGGCGGGGGGGAGAAAAAAGGCACACACAGATCATTAGAATGCAAGTCATTCTTGACATTCAATATCATTAAAAAAACATTAGTCACCAGTGGCTTATCTGAAATATGGTATGTTTAAAAATGCAAACAGAAACAACACCTGTTACTGTAAGAGTTGCCTCAGTTATTCAGACACAGGTCATTTTTTCAGCTTATTAAGAATGTAGCTGAACTTTGAACCTCAACTATATAGATACTTATAGCAGAGATAAAGAGATCTGTAAGAACAGGAGGTAGAGAAATACATGGCTGTTCAAATAATTTTTAAAAAGCACAATGAAAAAATGATGGTTAAACATTTGGGGAACCTCACATAGCCTTCCCAACAATGTTTTCCATGAACATTTTTATTCTGTTCTAATCTATTACATTATTATCTGGAAAGGTTTATCAGAGCAGCTTTTAAATCAACCAATCAATTAAAAAAAAAGACCTCTCCTTAGGCTTACAGATTAAAAACTGCAGCATAAAAGAAAGAGTTGGAGAAAAGGGGACATACATACGCGCGCACACACAAACAAATACACAAACCAACTTATTATTGCAAGTTTCTACCAACCACCTGGCATATAAAAAATGGGCTACTGAAATCTTATTTGATTTCCACAAAATACACATTACGCAACCTTCAAGAAAATGACTATAATACACCCAGAAAACTGAGTATATCCAGTTTTCATGAAATCTATCCTGATGTTGATACAGGACAGATTTCAACTTTTTTGCTGAGAGTTTCTGATATTTGACCAGGGGTGGGATTCAGCCAGTTCGGGCAAATGTTAAATTTATGTCTGGTTCACCAAACCAGCAGTTGAACCAACTGGTTGGCCCCACCCACCCCGCTCCACCCCTCCCAGGAGTCTCCACACAGCCCATTTTGGATGCAGGTAAGTACAGGGTCTGTGCAGAGGCTCTTTGAGAAGGTGAAAAACAGTCCTCCTGAAAGTTCCCAGAAACCAGTGCAGCTCATGCAACAGACATGGAACCTGGGTAAACCTAGGGGCACCCATCATTATACACCCCACTGCATTGTTTACCCCACTGAAAGTTATAGCTTCCAGGTGGTTTTCAAGGGCAGACTCATGGACAGCACAGAGTCACTTAGAATGTGATCGATGGTTCCAAAATTTGACAAATAAATAAATGCAAATGGGAAATGACCAAGGCATGAGTGGTTGTGATCAAGGCCTCCTTGTCCAGGAAGAGGTACAATTGGCATACCAGACAAATCTGTGCAAACACTGCACTCTCATCATGTTATGTGGTAAATAAAAAGAAATCCCTGTGCAATGGAGAGAGGAAATTGATGGAGCTTGGTTGCTCTGTGAAATACATGTGCCTTCAATGACTGTAACATCAAAAGCCAGCTTCTGTGAAGAAATATGTATACCAACCACGAACTTGCGAATATACAGTAACAATAAACCTTGGTTCAAAGCTAAACTTAAGCAACTACGTCGCTCCAAAGAGGAAGCCTACAGAAAAGGTGACAGAATGTTGTACAATCAGGCCAGAAATGTATTATTAACAAGGGAGATCAGAGCAGCAAAAAGAAGCTACTCTAAAAAGTTAAGTAATCAGTTCTCAACAAATGAACCAACAAACATATGGAAAACTCCTAAAAATATCACCTGCTACGGCAAACCTCCTTCCCAGGCTGAAGGAAATCAACAACTGGCAGATGATCTGAATATGTTCTACTGCAGGTTTGAAAGCAAACTACAGCCACCTATCTCCACAACCCCCATCTCAGACACACCAACAGCCAAACCTCTCACAACTGATCCCAACCCACTGGGTTCACAAGCCTTGGTGATCACAGAAAAATAAGTGCAAGGTCTATTTTACAGATAAAAGCCAGGAAAAGCACCAGGCCCAGACAAGATAATTCCCTCTTGCTTAAAAGTCTGTGCTGACCAATTGGCCCCCATCTTTACCTGAATCTTCAATAATCACTAGAGATGTGCTATGTTCCTTCTTGCTTCAAACGCTCTACTATCATTCATTCCTTCCTTCCTTCCTTCCTTCCTTCCTTCCCTTCCTTCCTTCCGTTCTGAACCAACCTGGTTCCAAGAGAGCAAACACAAGACAAAGGCAGCAGCCCCGGAAGAAGGCGGAGCCTCGTCGCTGCGACACAGCTGTAATCTCGGGGCTCTGAGATTGCAGCTGATATCCCCGCTCCTGGTCGGTCCCAACGGACCTAAACCGTCCCGTAGAGACGGTGATAGTAAGGGGCGCGTTCTGTAGATCCCAGGGACATCGCAAGTCCCTGGTTGACCCAGAAGAAGCCCTTTTACCATCGGCGGGGAGGCAGCCATTAAGCTGCTGAAGTTGGGACAGCTCCGGAAGGAAGAGACAAAGAGAAAGTGTATCGGCTGGTGAGGATTCTTTTTTTTTTTTAATTGGGACTTAAGGACACCCTAAAATGAGAAGGAATCTGTAAAATTTTTGACAAAATTTGACTTAGCGGCGATTTTTTCTTTAAGAATGTCAAAATGAGGCTTGGGCTTTTATTTTTACTTTTTTTTTCTCTTCACTGAACTTCTATTGCGATCTAGTTAATCAGACTGTTTTTTTCTTTTATATTTACTTGCTTTTTTCCCCCCTTTTTGACTGTTTATATTATATAAAATAGAGGCTCCCTTTAGTATCTTTTTTAAAAAAAATATACATAAACATATATATATATACTTTTTCTTTTTTTTTAAGGCTTTTTTAGGGGGGAAAGGGGGGAGAGGTTTTTAAGAAATTTTGCAACACTGCCAACTAGAGGCTTGAAAATATTTTATTTGAAGTTGAGAGCTGGGAAAAGAAATTCTTTTCAAGGCTACTGGAAGTGATAAGATAGAGGGAAGAGCGCTGGAGGATGTTTATACAGGTGCTCTTTGGGACTTCTATTATCAATTGAATATTTGAAGCTTGGCTTTGAAATTTGTGGAGAAGCCAAATAAAAGCCTTGGATAAATAAAAGGCAGTGTGTGCTTTCTTTTTTTATTTTTTATTAAGTGGTTTATCCCTCCCCTCTAACCCCACAATATTTTGTAATATTGGTATACTTATTTTTTATTTTACCTTATTTTTTTATTTTTTTTTAAAGGAGAAGCCTCAGAATATTTGCTTTTCGTTTTTATTTTTTTTTACTGGGATATTTGCCTCTTTATCTCTACTTTAGACTTGTTTTTACGGCTATTTTCCATTTTTTGAGGTCTTTTAATTGGATTAAGGTGAGAAGAACCTGAAGAACTCCTTTTTTTTTGCTTATTACTTTTTAATATTGTTGGGCTTTATTTTGTCTTTTTTTCTCTTTATTTTTAATTTTTACTTTTGAATTATAATTGAGTATTTCACAGCTGGATTAAGGTCTTGAAGAACCTGAAGAATTTCTCTTTTCTAATTTTGGGCTTTTTACTTTTTTACTTTTTATTGGGTTTTTTTTCTACTTGGTGTTTTCTTTTTTCCTAATTGGATTACAATTGGCTACCTTATTAATTGGATTAAAAGAGCTGGAAGACCTTGAGCCACGGAATGAGTAAGAGTAATAAATACCTCTGGGCATTTCAACTTCTGCTCCTGTCTCCCCATCAACTGGAGGACGACTTTCAATAATGGCGAAGCAAGATAAAGCACAAGTGGATTTAATGACGGTTATGCAAGGAATACAAGACCTAAAAATGAGTATGGAACAAAGAATGGAGAGTATTGAACAAAGTATGGAACAAAGAATGGAGAGTATTGACCAAAGAATTGGGAAGATTGATGAAAAATTTGAAAATGTTCAACAGATGATGGGGAAACATGATGAGAGAATCCAAAAAATAGAAGAGAAAGATAAGCAAAGAGATGACATAATTGGAAATATTGATAGCAGATTAACAACGGTTGAACAAGAAAAAAGTGGGATGTTGAAGTGGGAGATGGACAGGTCAGAATTTTACCTTAGATTTCAAAATATTGAGGAAGAAAAAGGACAGAATTTGGCTGCTGTAATGATTGAAATCTTGGCTGGAGCCTTGGAAATAACAGAGGAAAAGATGATGGATGGGGTAGATGAGATATATCGAGTCTTCACAAGGTATGCGATGAGGAACCAACTACCAAGAGAGGTCCATGTCAGATTCACCAAAAAAACTATTAAAACTCAAATATTACAAGTGGCAAGAGAGAAGGTGTTGAAATACAAAGACAAAGAGATTGTGGTTTTAAAACAAGTACCCAGAAAAGTGAGAGAGATTAGAAGAGAATATCGATTTTTGACCAAAATACTATTGAAAAAAGAGGTGAATTATAGATGGCTGATTCCAGAAGGATTAATGTTTACATGGCAAGAACAGAGACATAGAATTGATTCAATTGAGAAAGCAGAAACATTCTACAAGGAATTTTTCGAAAGAAGAGAAATGGAGATAGAAAAAGAGAACATCTTAACTGAATTTGAAGAGGACCAAATGGGAACGGGAAAAGAAGAAGGCGCAATAGGTGGACAAGTGGAGACCAAAGAACAACGTGAAGTAAGATCCACGAGAGCTGTTAGACCTAAGTATAAAGCATAACCATGGAGGAAAAAAAACTGATTTCCATGAATATAAATGGACTGAATTCAGCTACCAAAAGAAGAAAAACTTTTTGCAAATTAGAGAAGCTAAAATTTGATATAATTTGTCTACAAGAAGTTCACATTAAAAAACAACATGAACAATTACTGGCACGATCAAAATTAGGGAAAATATTTACTTCTCTGACTCACTGTAAGAAAAGAGTGGTTTTGTATATTAGAGAAACCATTCCAGCAAAACTGATTTATACTGATGAAGACGGAAGAGTATTAATGGTTGAAATAGTGGATAATAATACAAAAACGCTCTTGGTTGCAATTTATGCCCCGAATGATAAACAAGAAGAATTCTATAAAAACTTACACATGAAAATAATTGGACTGGACTATGTTAATATACTTAT